ACAAAGAAATTCATGGTCACAAAATTTTAACATTTTAATCCTAAACATTACAGGGTAAATAGATACTGGACCCTATCTCCACACTCTGTAAGTCCTAACTTTTAGTTTCCATTTTAAATGTTGCTTCTAACCACTAAAACATTAGTGGTTTCACAACCTCTGGATTATGGAAATACACATTTCTCAAATAAATGCTACAAAACAACAATGGAAGAAAGCTGAACAAACTGTCTCCATGAAGGAAAAAAAAGTGGAACATTTTGAAGCTTTTAGACACTTCTGTTTCCATGTCTTATGATTAACTTGTCAATTCAGTGCATTATATGGTCAAATGTAATGGTCCCAGTATTGAACAAGCATTTAACTAGTGTCCATTGATTCCAAATTAGTGGATGATGAATCTTTTTGGATACTTTCAAAGATGGCTGCCAGCCCAGGGTTAGAACTGATCTGTGACTGGAATTCACTCATCAGTGGACTCTTCTCTGCTTCTGGAATGGTTAGCAGTGCTGCTACTGCTCTCATGGCAGATCGCTTTAATTCATCTTGTTTTTCAAACTCCTGCTTTACTGAGTTTGCCTTTACCTGTAATGGGAAGTAAATTTAAATTACATGCTGTAAAAGACAGCTTACATGAACAAAATTAAGCACACAGGAATTCCTGGTAAATAAGCAAAATTACTATCAGAGGTCCAAAGGGCACTTTATATTTTAAGTATAGCCAGAATTACACTTCTTTCAAAGCAGAAGCTGTCTTTTTTTCTTAGGAATTTACACAGAAAATCCAGACCCACATGATTGAAACAAAAAGTGAAACTTGGGGAATATCATCTGCTAAGCAAATCCTACTTTGGCCTTTAGCTATCCTATTATTCATGATTCTTCAAATGCCATATAATAACATCTCCATGCCTTTATTCATGTAATTACTTGATATTTAAAAACCTTGTTTAACCTTCTTGGTCTAAAAAATCATTTTCCAAGGTTAATTTCAAATATCATCACCCTCATATGAAGTCTCCTATGTTTCCCTCCCTAACCAGAACTGAATATGACCTTATCACATCTTATTCTACATGGGTACTTTAAAATATATATCATATTATTATAGCAATAAAAATAACATTTAACAGTGCTACAGTTCATAAAACAATAGGTTATCTTTAGATCAACTGCTATATATGAAGTTAGAATAATTAAATTTGGAAACCTCAGAAAAAGCTACCAATCCTAAATTCAAAGTTACACAAGAAAAAGAAACATGTTTTTTGTTTCCCTAAACTTTTTATTTTTAAATGAAAAGACTTATAAAGCAAAAAATAATTACATAGTCACAAAATTTTAACATTTTAATCTTACATGGTAAACAGATCCTGGCCCTTTCTCCACACTCCATAAATCCTACACCCAGGATAGTCTAGGTTGATGTCTATTAAGGATTACCTTAGTTGTACATGTGGCACGTAATGGCTCAACAAGTCGGTCCAACCTCTGTAGTACCGCACTTGGACAAAGGGTAGAAAGTCTCACCAACATTAAAAATGTTAGCATCTATTAGGAATAAAAAATGACAAAATTTACAACTGATATTTTTTCTAAGGACAAAATCCCAAATTCTGATAAATTTCTTAAAAGGAAAAATGACTCACATGTAAAATAGAGCTTCATTTTAATGTAATATGTCATTCTGAATCACAAAGATTTATTTCAAACCTTATCTGAGTTAAGTGCTAGGGAGAACAACTGTCATGTGGTCCTAAAATACAAAACTAGAAAACTGGTTTTCTATCTTGGCTGCACATTATAATCACTTGGGAAAGTTCTGTAACATACCCATTCCTCAGCCTTATCCCCAGAGGGGTTGCAGATTCAATGTTTTTTTTTTTTTGGTACCAGGGATTGAACCCAGGGGCACTGAACCACTAAGCCACATCCCCAGCCCTTTTTATTATGAAACAGGGTCTCACTAAGTTGCTTAGGGCCTCAATGAGGATGACTTTGAATTTGTGATCCTTCTACCTCAGCCTCAGATTTAGTATTTTTTAAAAAGCCCATGTGCACCAGAATTGAAATTCACTAAACTAGAATATTACTAACCTGGACAAAAGCTTTATAGTAAGTTTCCACTACCTTAGCAGATTTTTTTCTAGGGAGAGAGGTTAACTCAACTGTTATCCAGATTAATTCATATAAAACTAAACAACCCCTAATTTTTTTCTCTTGGGCTATAAATTTATAGAATTAAACAATATATCCTGTTACTTTTTGGGGGAGCTCTCTTTACTGAAATCTGGGAGGATCAGGTCACTACCATATATAGCAACAAATAAAAGTTCTGGTAGAATAGCTCAATACTGATCAGTTACCACTTTTGCTCTGCCAGGAAAGGCCCTAACGGAAGAGTTGAGGAAAAGGATATAATACATTTTTTTCCCTCAAAACTGTCGTTTACTGTTTGTATTTACAATGGAGATGAACAAACAAGAAAATAAAAAACAGTTATAAACAAAATTCAAGTTCTAAACTTAAGAAGTAATGAGTCATTTCTAGGCTCTTCTACAGATTGCTTTGTATTTCTAAAAAATATTATTGCATGTTGTCCTCTTAATAAAAGTTCTGATATTAAACATGGTATATTATACTGAAAAAAAAAAAAGCCCTCATTCAGGTAAACAAAAATAGTTATCATTCAGATCAGCCTCAAAGACAGACCAAGACAATATGAAGAAACTAGGAAACCCTCTCATGGGTAACAACTATAGTCCAACATCGAGACAGGTCAAAAAAGTCAGAGATTTATACTTTGAATAGCAAAAGCTAACTGGACTTTCTGGAAAAGATCTAGGTAAGGGACTAGTCACTAAGCAAGCTGGCACAGAATTTCTTAAAAACTTTGTGTCCATTTCCACTTCATCTTTTAATAAAATGAGTTTTGGACTTTTCTTTTATATTAACTTTTCTTACACTAACTTACTACTATTATTTTCTTTTTTGAACCAGGGAGTGAACTCAGTGGTGCTTAACCATTGAGCCACATCTCCACCCCTTTTATTATATTTAATTTAGAGACAGGGTCTTGCTAAATTACTTAGGGCTTGCTAAATTGCCTAGGCTGGTTTTAATCTCCCAATCCTCCTGCTCTAGCCTCCCAGGCTGCTGGGATTACAGGCATGCATCACCATGGCTGGTCATTACTACTACTTTTGCATATTACAGTTTATAAGATGCTTACTAAGACTTTAATAGACAACCCTTTTTTTTTTTTAACTTATAGGTGTTAACAAATTACAAGAGCACCAAGTGCTGCAGTCTTCCTCTAAAACATTCTATAAAACAATCAAACATCTTACCTTAATATCATAATGGTCCTTCAAACCATCTTCAACATGATTTAGAAATTCAAAGATATCTAGTCTATCAAGACAACTGTCTAGAAGTGTATACATACACTCAAAAGCCGCCTTTCTAATATCCAAACCATCATCAACTGTGTGTTTAAATGGACCCATTTCTACCTGTTAAAACAAAAAAAGAATTTGTAGATATGATACTTAAGAAATAAAAGACAAGCTCAGATAAACAATGTACTCTAACTAACTTACCTCCCTTATAAGCTCCTTTCTAACTTTTGTTTCATTGTACAGATGTGGAAGAACAGTATCCAAAAGATCCCTTATTAATGATGGTTTGTTATGTGCTGCTGAGTTGAATGTGACCAAGGCTACTCTTCTTACATTCAAATCTGGGTCTTCTAAAGTTTTTAGGAAGTCACCTGAAAAATTATGAGAAAAGCAACATACAGCTATAGTAAGCGTAAAATAAAATATGCATAATATTTTTTTCAAATTGAATTGCTTATTATAGTTGGTATCACTGTTATTTTCTTCACTGAAGGTCAAAGAACAGAACTTGATAAAATACTAAGTGAACCATAAAAGTTTATTTTAGCAGCAGGAAAATCATCATTTCTAAAGCTGAGTACATTTTCAAGTGATAACCCACTATCTATATATACTGCAGAGTGTATGGAAGGACAGTTCATGAAATTCCCCAGAGGTGGCCTACACAGAAAGTGATAAGTCTGTAGCCAAAAAGACTAAGTTGCAAGGTTTTCCTTATAGTTTCCCAAAAATTTTTAAACAAAGTTCAAAATAAGGCGAGGACAGATCTACTGCTGAAGAAAGATGAACTATTGTTAACAGGTATACAAGCAATCAAGTGTCAGAGAAACTGGTCTCCAAAACCTGTATTTTTTTTTCTATCTTCACTGAGAAATACGTGAATCTGTAAGACTATAAAAAGAGTAAACTAAAATTTAACAAGTAACAAACACCAAACATAGCCTCTAGATACTTGAAATTAGACTGAAGTCTGCTTGTTTTTCCCAATGTGGGGAGAAATTTATAATGCAAAAATCTTTGAAGTTACAGAAATGGTGACTCAAATAATTTCTCAAAGCCTCAGGTTTCTCAATCAATAAAATGAGAATTATACGTTTAGGGCTACTAAACAGAATAAATCATTATGCATACTGTTTGAACACAGTATTGATACATACAAGGTATGCATAAGTAGCAGTGATTCAATATTATATGATCCCAAGTCTATATCAGCAATTTTTAAAAATAAACAAGAAAATGAAGACAAGGTAATAAAAATCTTGAGCATCAATTTGAAAAATAGCAATTTGATAAAATAAGGGGAGATTTCAGACACTGTACATTGGTAAACTCAATGGTAACATCCAGAAAAGTTTCAGCACTTATTACAAAAAAAAAAAAAAAAGTTTAGAAGACAGCATGGTGGCACATGCCTGTAATCCCAGCGGCTTAGGAGGCTGAGACAGGAGAATTGCAAGTTCAAAGCCAGCCTCTGCAATGGTGAGGTGCTTTTAGCAGCTCAGTGAGATTCTGTCTCTAAATAAAAATCAAAGTAGGGCTAGGGATGTTGGCTCAGTGATTGAGTGCCCCTGAGTTCAATCCCTGGTAACCCCTCCCCCCAAATAATAATTTAAATGTAACAGATTAATCCTTCCCACCCCTTTGTTTACCTAATTATTAAACTATTAGAGGAATAATTATAAGAGAGCATGTATTTCCTTTTAGCAAAGCACCTAAAATACTGCTGTTTATCATGAATGAAATGTTATTGCAGAGTAGACCTGTGGTCCCGATTCCTTGGTCTAGAAATTTCAATTTGAAATTTAAAAAGATTCCTAGGTGGTTTTGATGTTCAAATACTCAAATACTGAATTAAATAGTTAATTCAACTAGAAAACCACCTGACTAAATAACTATACTAACAATGTACAATATAATGCCTCTAGATATTCTTGAGTATCACCTCTAACCTCTTCTGAGAGGTTATTTATTGTTTGTTTCTGGGAGTTTATTTATTGTTTGTAACCCTCCAATCCCCGCCCCCCCCCACAAAATAATCAAAGATTGGGGCCCTACCAGTTCAAATGAGATTCATTCAGTTAACGTTCTAACTGGTCCAAAATTTATTAATCTTAGATTATCCCAAAAATGTGATTATCAAGTATGTAGTTGATTTTAAAGACATGCTTGTATTATCAACTAATTTAATATATTTGCAAAATATATTTTGTTGGGTGGGAGCCCGCCCCGCCTCTCGCCCCCCCAGGCTCCAAAGACTAACTTCCCTGTCCCCCAAGAAGAGCCATCCAATGGTGAGCCCTGCTGGCTCACCTGATCCTACCCACCACTCAGACTAGCCCTGCTGGCTCACCTGATCCTTACCCTCCAATCAAAAAGCCAACTGTCAAACCACCCCTGGCTCTATACGCAGAGCTGTTCCTCAATAAACGGGCATTTGCTCCGAAGACGATAAGCCTTGCTCATTCTTTCAGTAATAAGTATAAACAAATATAATTTTATAAAGCTATAAGATCATACATAATAAATAATCTTTTGGGGTGGGGAGCAAAGGGAGCTTACCAGGCATTGAACTCAGAGGCACTCAACCACTGAGCCACATTCCCAGCTCTTCTTTGCATTTTATTTAGATAAACAGGATCTCACTGAGTTGCTAGTTCCTTGCTTTTGCTGAGGCTGGCTTTGAACTCACAATCTTCCTGCCTCAGCCTCCCAGGCTGCTAGTATTACAGGCATGTGCCATGAAGCTCAGACATCAATAATCTTTTTAATAAAATAATTACCTAAAAGGCATTTTAATTTCTATTCAAAACAAAAACTTCCTCAGAAATGTTTATAGTTATTGAAATTAAGAAACTTGACAATATAGCTCTTTCACCCAAACAGTTAACACACTATATTTATCTTTTTTTCCCCCACTTACCTATGCAGTTCTTTAATAGTGGATCGATAGGTTGAGGATGATCAGAAATAGTAAACTTCACAGCTGTAACCACTGAACTTCGGGCATATGATGAGCCTAGTTAAAAATAAATTGCAAGTCTATTGGTCCATGAAACCCATGGACATCATTTCAAGAAGGTGACCAAAGGAAGAAACAATGGAGGATCTAGCCCTCACAAAAGGGAAATGGTTAAATCCACAAGTAGCTTATACATATTTCAAAATTTTATTAAAAAAAGAAATCTATTTTAAGAATGAATAGCCATTACTATTTTCTACTTATTTCAATGGCACTGACAATGGTAAATCTGAAATCTAAGATCTTTCAACTGAATTAAATACTTTCACCAATTTCAACATAATTAGCACTAGCAAGCCCTTTAGATTAATTCTGGAGCAATCTTCCACATGTGACATTAAAATGTAGTTAGCATGAAGAACTAGATCAAACTTATTAAGCATTAGTACTTAATTATACTCTATCCTTGTAAACAACAAAATTTCATCAATATAGCTCCACATTGTAACACAAGGCAGTACATGTGCATGCATTAACTTTTACATATAAGAGAATCTGGTTCAACTTCCTCATTAGCTAGCTTTCAATGTCAAAAAATTTATTTATTTATTTTAGACAAGAAAATCTATCTTAGATAAGAAAATACTCACCTGATATCAAATACCCTTTAAGCCGTGGAAGGAGAGTTTCAGGATCAATTAGAGTGAGTTTTCCTAGACATTCAGCAACAACATTTCTGGTACCTTCCTCTGCACACTCACAGTGCTTTAATAATAAGGCCCAGATATTTTCAACATATGGTTTAAGGCCCACCACTGATGCAGAGCTAATAATTTCTTTCAAGGAATGAAGCAGAAGATACTGCCTTTTGGGCTGACTGGTTATTTCTTGTAAAACAAACGGCAAATATTCAGGAAGGTTGCCCACACTAATGCTGCCTAATGCATAGGATGCAGCTGATTTCACTTCTTCACTAGGAGATGAGAAAGCTTCTAATATTACAGATTTTAGTTCCAACTGCCCACTTAAGTCAATATGATGCCCAACTTCTCCAAGAGAAAGGAGAGCTAAGAGACGAATGGAATCTGTAGACCTTGAGTTCTTGACATCTTGAATAAACTGACCTACTACAGCTGGTCCCTCCTTAGGGCATGCTCGAGTAAGGGCAGCTACACATTTGGCAATGGAATAATAAGACTGCTTATGAGTCAGAGCTGTGCTCTGAGAGTAAACTGGACCAGTCAGCATGCGCAACAAATCCATATATCCTAAATTATTTGTTCCAGTGACAACCAGAGCTTGGAAAAAGTCTAGCATGGCACTAAGAGCTCCCCCCTGCAACAAGGGTGATCTCACAAGTCCAATGAGTTCATTGAGAATAGATCCACTTATCTTTGAGAGGGAGGAGGGATAAACTTTTGCCAGGGTAGTAAGAAAACTGATAGCCATCTGTGAAACATGCATATCACTTTCACTGATAAGAGGTGGGAGCTCATCTAGAACTGCATCAATCATGGCAGCTGTCAGGCTGTCACTGTAGTTTTTAATCAGAATATCTAGGGCAGAAAGGGTCCCCAGTTTCAAAGCTCTCTGGTTCTTCCTGAGAAGTGAAGCAAGAATAGGAACCCCTTCTCCCAGGACAGGTCTCAAATCTATCTTCAAAGGTGACCCAGCAATCAGTGTTAATGCCTTCACTGTAGTTAACCGGGTAATTTCATTCTTGAGTCTCTCCAAGAAAATCTGAAGGGTATTAGGCAAGTCGGAACCCCAATTGTCTCCAAGGTTGCAAATAATTTGTCCCATACAGGAAATAGCCCTTTCCTTGACTTCCTGATCAATGTCAGCTGCTTTTAACCTCTTAATGGTACAGGTAAATAGATCTTTGATGTAAGGAGTTGCATCAAACGAGGAAGGCTGATCTAAAGGATGGATTACTTTAACAAGCTGTTGAGTAACAAGAAGTGCTTCAGATGTAATCTTGTAAAATGGGTCTCCAACACAAGCCACAACTGGAGGGACCAAAGCCTGAACATGAGGATGGAAGACTTGAGGAGAGTGGTTACAGAGAATTACATATAGGCATGACAAAGCATCAATCTTCAGATTCGATGAGCTTGATTTATCATTCAGTGAGAAAATAATTCCT